TGCTCTGCTATTGGGGGGCATTCTGCGTTAATGAGCGTTAAGGTGATTCATGGTGATAGGAGGCTCATTGTTGTGCAAGAGGGTTACCTTTGTAACTTGGAGACTTGTCAGAGTGTCAACTGTTCGGTGTTTTGACCGCGAGTTGACCAACATAGTGCGTTTTGGCCACCATTGCGGGGCCCTCGGGCGCGTCAAGGCAACAAGGTCCTCTCCTGAGAGTTGAGTTTGTCCCCCTCCTATATCTTGAGAGTCTAAAACTCCTCCTTCTATCCTTCTTACTCTACGTCTAGTCTGTGGTTACGAGAGGAAGACGGTCGACAGGATTGCAACCAGTAGGACCGCAGCAAGACTTTGTGGGGAGTATGCCCATCGATTGTGGGAGCTCTGCCGGAACTCATGAGGAGTTCTGGAGGCAGGGAACTGAGAGATAATCATTGCTTTCCATTTATAAACACTGTTATAACCTATATGGGTACTTCTTGCTATGCTTGACTGAATATATTGCATGCCTCCCTTACTTTGACTTTCGGTTTGACTTTCAGGATAAACCAGACTTAATTAAAGGAATGATTATGCAAGTTCCAGTTTCAGTTTTTGTTTGTCTGACTGAAAGCAAATTGTAGGGTTGCATCTGGGGGAAAGGATGGGAGGAAGGTTGTATTGCTTCTGTCTGACTGGGTTAACCAAAGACTAAGAGCGTCTCCATAAGATTGGAAAGTCTAGTGCTGTGTTTATTTTCGATTGCCTGAAGGACAAGACAGGTTCCCATAAGTTTGGGTGGTCTGTTTGCTTTGACTTGCGAGGGTTGTATGTGTTTGACTTTCAGGGACCAAGCATTTTTCCATAAGATTTGAGGGTTTGGTTGCCTTGTTTTATTTGGGTTTTCTTATGTTTATTAATGTCTTCTGGTTTTATTTTGACAAGGAATTTAGGCAAAGGATTGAACAGGTTCCCATAAGATTGGGTGGTCTGGTGTGGAGCCGCAGACATGTTGAAACCAAAAGGTTAAATTTGTTTATATTTTATACTACTTTATTTATGAAAAGGCTAGTCGGATATTTTTCCATACGATTGGATTGTCTGATTATAACATATCACCAACTGAAGAGAGTATGAATTAATAATAAACTTTTGGTAAGAAGGAACAGGTTGAACGTTGATCTAAGATGATCGGTTCAATCATATGTTACCTTAAAAGACAAAGTGCAAACAGTTATATAGAACAGGGATGTTTAAATGGTCCGGGGCGACTAGGCTGGCTAAGCCTAGTCATGTGCCAAAGAAGAGAAAAGTTGTAGTGCCCTGTATTTGTGTATATTTTATGGGTGAACGAGAAAGGTTCCCATAAGATTGGGTGGTCTAGCTTTATGCCTTATGTAAGTTGGGTATAAAGCGAAAAATCATTGAAAGACTACGAACTATTGTTTGATAAGTCTGACTTTGGGCTGGTGAGAGTATTTACCATTGTGGTTTGGCCTTGCATGTGGCGGAGTGAGATTACTATTTGGTCTGAGTTTCAGTTTCATAGGTAGTTGCTTTAGTTGCTCGCCACGTGCAAGAGTTATAGGAGTTAGTTTCAATTCCTGCATTTTTTGGCTAAGTTTTTTTTTACTTGGATCAATTCTCGCATTTTCTGTGATCATTTGTTATACTTGGCTTTGTATAAATTTTTGTAAGTCACTTTCTCTTCGGGAAGCGCTGCAAAAATTTTTGCAAATCCAAGGAGTTCGTTAAAATTTGACTTTTTAAATTGACTTGTCTAATTTTTATATGACTTAGTAAAAATCTGGAAAGTCTTCTTTTCTAAAGGGAGCGCTGCCCAAATTTTTGCTAATTCAGGGAGTTAGACAAAATTTGACTTTGGAAAGTTGAAGATTATTTTTGTCTTCATATTCGAGCTAGTAGAAATTATGAAAAGAAACTTTTTCTAGGGAAGCACTGCCAAAATTTTCTTAGTTTAAAGGAGATAGATTATATTTCGATATGTGGTGATTCCTAACAATTCACTCTGCATAGGAGAGATTTTGTCAGGATCTACCTTTCTTTTAGCACTAGCTTAGAAGTTGACTTAAACTTAGTTATAAGAAGGTTTTTGAGTGCGAACGTGAGATGGGGATTTATTCTCCATACACTTATAAGTTTAGTCTGAGAACTAACTTGTCTTGTGCTACATATCCTTCGTTGATTGATTCAATTCAGGATTGGACTAAGATTCAACTTAATCATACGAGGACCATTTTCTATTATGAATGATAACAGATCAGTTCGTTGATCGCCGACTTGTCAGCTCACGACACAACTTTACTTATATTTGTACCTCAACTTGATGCCTTGACTCTGAGATTTGATATGTTTCTTTAAGGGTTTTAACCAAACTTCTTTGAATGACCATGATAAAGAACTTATGAGATTTATGGAAAGTTTGACTATGACGGGGGCTTGAGTATGTGAGGCGTAGTGTGAGTTACAAGGAACAGTAAAATTGACCACATTGGTGTATGGCAATGTGGCGTTCGTCTCTGTCTGTATTTTATACAGGTTAATGTCTTGGAGCCTGTGTACGAGCCTTACTTTGGAGACAGTGATAATAACAGTCATGTGACGCACGATCTGCATACATGATGAGTTTATGTTTTCCCTTCTTTTATTTTATCTCGAGTTCTCATTTGATATATGAGTGTTGGGATGTTTATTTGTTTATTGAGTGATTTTGCTGGTTAACTTTTATGGTTGGACGTTAGAGTCAGTGGAAGTCGTCAACGTTAAACCCCTTGACTTATCTTCAGGCCTTGGATGATAGAGCTGGTATCCAGAGCAATAAGAGACGATTGCCACCACAGGTATGAACCACATGTATGAACCTGTGTACCACCTGCTCTCCGCAGGGTGCAGAAGTGGGTGTGCTTCTCAACCGCACTTGGTGGTTGTCTAGCGTCGAGAGATCATTTCCTCAAGGCGCGTGTCAGCCGACACTTCAGTGTTGAATACGACCATCGAGACTACGAGGGACCGCATGATTATGGGCGTTACATTATACGTCATCATTACGACTGCTTGCGTATTCATACATTGCTAGTCGATATGAGAAGACCCTGCGCCCGTGTGGCTTTATACGAAGTCTCGCGCGTGACGCCTATCGGATTTCCTCATCGGAGAGTTATAAATGGCTACTAAGGGACTATGAGTGTTGTCGCGTTGTTTGTTCTCTGTCGTTTTGTATATGTATGTGTGCGTGCGTGTTTTAATTTTTATGTTCTTAGAGTGGTGTACGTGTGGTGCGTGGGATGCGTCCTAGTCGACGGACGACGGGTCGCACTTGGAACTTCAGCGCCCCAAGACGTTGGTTCGCGTGCGCGTTCGATAAAAGAGTAAAACCGCGCGCACCCCCTATGCTACAGCGAACGAGAAACACCATCGACTGGTCCACCTCTGTGATTGCAACTGATCAACTTTCGTATTGTGGACTGGTAGCTCGACGGGGATACGCCCACCGAAGGGAGGTGACAGTTCCCGCAGGTGGAGGTAAGTCGTGTTTCGCATTGGCCCTATCCTGTCGTAGGGGCTTGCAAGAGGTATGGCTGGCACAATCGGTCGGAGCGGCTTGCGGAAGCTCCATGTGTATCGCGACGAGGATTAAACCAACTCCTGCGTGACGAGGTCGGGAGGGTCTCGCCCCGCTTGTGATCGACATCGCATTAGTGCATCGTTGCAGAGCTACATTCATGTGGACCAGTCATCGGGGTGTATGCATTGATGTCACTCGTCTGTCTCGCGGATAGACTGGAAACTGGTCATATCCGGACTAGAGGTCTATAATCGAAATTATAGGTCTCCCACCGCATGACTCTAATAGCGCGTCGACATTTAGCAACCCCCTCGCATCTCGCACGATCACAGCGTTGAAGTGCTGCAAATCCTGCTCCCACCACAACGTTCCATTAGGTTTGACAAAGCAAAAGCATGGAGATGCATACAACCCCCTCGAGTAATCGGCGACATGCGTACGTATCTTGCCGTCAAGATAGTCCACCACCTTCTTCTCCTCGTCAGGATTAGGATACTGCGCCCCTCTCAAATTCCATGGCTCATGTGGCACGGTATGGATCCGGATGATAGGAATTTTGCCCACGTCCAATCTCCCTCGTTGATCGTCATCGAAAGCATTGGGGCGATGCCTCTTCTTCATCATCTCTATCATAAGCCCTCTTTCATGGGGTGATGGAAATTCAGGCTCTCTCACTATCAACTTTTCCTCGTTCCCTTCATTGATACAACACGGCCCTACTGTCGCCTGCTCCTTTATTCGCCGTATCAATCCTCGCCCTTGCTCGTAATAAACTTCCTAATCTTCGATGACGAGGACGGGAACTAGACGACACTTCTTGTTTATGGTATTGTACCGCCTTTGGGAACCCTGCTTGAGCCGTCCCCTAAAAAAGGCCGGCTTACCGCTTGTGATTGCATTACTGCAGGGTCCCTCCTTTCGCCCGGAAGCCAATAGACGAGCTCGACTTCCCCAGCCTGGAGACATTCCAGAACATGTTCCCTCAGCGTCTAAATGACGTCTGGATCCGCCATCTCGTGCGTGGCCACTACATCCATGGCCTTGTTCACGTCAAATAGGCTGAGGGAAAACACCTCCTCCTGTGCCTCCTCTTCTGATTCCATAAGGAGTCTTCGACGCTCATTCTAAGACTCCTCAATCGAAAATGAACTGCGATTGGGCCGGTTCCTTATAGTCCGGGGACCCGTGTTTCGGCAAGTAACTATCTCATAGTTCCCGCACGCCATATCACACAAGATCAGGATCAGAGTTTCCTCGTGTTTGTTGAACAACAACGTCTCTGTCCTCCACAGGAACGACCTTCCTATGAGGATGGTATGGTCTACGTTTGGTATGACGAAGAAGCAAGCCTTGGCCTTTACCCTCCCAATCTTAATAAGCACGTTTGATGTCGTTCCGCAAAATACTGCCTTGCAATTGGCCCCGTGCAGAATGTCGTAATCCGAGCGGTTTATCTCTAACTCAAACTTGAGTGCATCAGCTTCCTTGATGATATTCATCTCTGCCCCCGTATCCACCATTGCTGCGCATTTCAATTTTTTCACCACCAAATTCTGCAGGTCACGCACTTCCAGTCCATCTTTGTCCCAGTTTCCTCCCATTCCGCCTCCTTGGGCAGAATCACGCTTAGATGGACACTTGGCACTAAACGTCATAAAAACCTTCCCTTTAGCTCGTTACGAAGCTTAGGAGCATACGCCAAGATCTTCTTGAAGGTCACAAGGTCGTTATGACCCTCAAGCAACCTATCAATCACCTTTTCCAAATCAAACCCTTCCTCCAACTGGACCACATACTTCTTCTTCTTTGGCGCTGCACCGCGCAAAATTGGTTCAACTTTCTCATGGGCTCCCGTCTTCTTGGCCCTTTGCTCCGCCCTTCGATCCTCCTCTTGGCGCAACCTATCATCTTGTTCATCTTCGTCATCCTCCTCCTCTGCCTCTACGGCCTCTTTCCTTCGTTCCGACTCTGACTCTCTCCGAGGGAGTTCTCGGCTGGCACTTGCCTTGCTCTGGCCCCTGGTTTGCGCTACTTGCGCCATTCTCCCTTGCGCTGTAGGAGGCCTAAAGGTAATTCCCGACCAAGGGCGTGACCCCATAGTGGCTACTCTAGGGTAACCTTGTCGTCCCGGTACCGACTCTGGGCCGGATTCGGAAAGGAAGACTTTGGGGATGCTGGTCCTCCACTCCTTTACTTCTTCACATTATCTACCAGCTTTTGCTGGTATCTCCCCACTTTCTTCCACAAATCCTCCATCTTTCCCAGAAGGACTGACGCTGACTCCACCTTCTCATCCGCGTTCTCTCCGTCTGACTCGACGACTATAGGTTCTTCTTTTCTAGCCTCCGCCTGCAACCTCCGAGTCACCTCTTCATCACACTCCACCTCTTCCACCCTTATTGGTGGGTCCTCCTTTGCTTGCCACAGTCTGATCATGGAAGGTGGTGCTTGCCGCGCAACTATTCTCCTATGAGCTTCCGCCCTCACTCCGCCTGGAATCTTTCGGTCAATATACTCCCCGTACTGATCATAAATATCACCATCCATATTGGAATAGACCAGTATCTCTTTTCATTTTCCTGCCTTGTATTGTGGAACCGTATTGTATGACCTTGCTTGTCACAATGCTGGCAAATAGAGGTCCTCCAGTCAAAACGAGGCCTTCAATATCCTTGACCTCCTTGATTCCCTTGGCCTTGGTAACCTTGGTTGTCCCATTGTCCACCTCAGCCCCCGCCATTCCTGCCACGTCCTCTTCCGCCGCCTCTTCCTCCATTCCCCTGGTTGCCCTGGCCCTGATTCCCTCCTCCTGCCACGCTACCCTGTGAACTTGGCGCGGGCGATGGGGGAGGTGCCATGGGCTGGGCCTGCACTGCAGGATAACTCGGCGGTGGCATACTCGCTTGGGGCCCTGTGTAGGGTACCATCTGTCCGGATGGAGTTGGACTTCCCCATGGCACGAAGGTGTTAAACACAGGTCATGGCCACTGCCCATATGGTGGTACCGTTGTTTGTGAGGGTCCCGCGCTGCTTGACGGACTTGTCGTACTTGGTGAGGCTGCTGCCAATGCTTGGGGCGCCTGTCCCTTTCCGAAGCCTTGCCCTCCCTGCGTTAGATTGCGCTGTTCGCGTTGTGCCTTTAAAAGGTGTTGGGGCACTGACACTTCCTTTTCCCATTCTTCTTGAATGACCTCCTCTACCACTGCTCCTTCACCTTCCCTTGGATCGTTGTCACCACTTTCTTGTGCACTTGTAACCCAACTCCGCGAGTACGTTTGTAACGATCCTTTTCACCCCCGAGGTCCCTGAGGAGGTCGCATCTCGCTCCTTCCTTTTCCGTCGTTGCTGACACATTTGGTACTGTTCCACCTGGTCCAAACTCCCTTCCTCTACCCCGTTGTCGATGGTGGCCCAGGTGAGCTTCGCACTTCCTCCTCCATGGCTCGTCAATTCCGAGGCTTCCGAGGCAGTGAACAGTCCCAGGAAGATAGCACATTGTGCTTCTTCCGAGATTCCGGGGACCTTACTTCCCTTTTTCTTAAACTCCTGCACAAAGGTCTCGACCATGGTAAAATCATCCTTGTTCATCGCCTCCAAATCTGCAGTGGTTAACAGGCCATGACCTGACATGTACTTCCTTTGCATTCCATCCTTGAATCTCGCCCAGTTGCCGTTAGCTGCATTTATCACCTTCTCTACCTCCTGGTGGTGCCCATGGAGTACGTACTTCAGAATACGTTGGAACTTCACAACATCTAATGGCCCCTTCAAAACCTGCTCAACCAGTTCTAACCATTCTGAAACTCGCACGCCGTTGAAATGGAAGGTGTTGACTTTAGGAACATTGCTCTGAAACCTCTTTCGCATGTCCATTACCTCGACCAAATCATCAATTGTTAGAACCTTCCCGGCACCATCAGCGATGTTTTCCAACATCTTGACTGAATCTCTTACACAACTTCCCTGTTAAGAAAAGGTAGAAACTCTCACTCAACATTTTGACTTACCATGACTCCTATCAAGTTTCGTACATAATTACTTCACAGTCCAGATCTAACAAGTGCTACCCGTCTCTTTCTTTTGAACCCACCTTAGTAGGACCCACTTCCTCTATAGGGTTTCCCTCATGGTCTTTTAAGTCAGGCAGACAGTCAAATCAAAGGTCAAATTTATTATATTAATAACATCCGTCCAACATAAATAATCAAACAAGGCATCTCGTACTCTGTCTTTCCTTATACGCCTATTTTTTTCTCAATCCCATACCCAGATGTCGTTCCATCAAGGACAACGGTAGGCTTTTGTTATCCTCGGCAACGGTGCCACCTGTCGAGCGCATCGGTCCAGCATCGCATAAATGGGGCGGGACCCTCCCGATCGCGTCACGCAGGAGTTGGTCTGTTCCTCGTCGCGAATACACATGGAGCTTCCGCAAGCCGCTTCGACCGAGTGCGCCAATCATACCTGTCGCGAGCCCCTACGACAAGATAGGGCCAACGCGAGGCACGACTTACCTCCACCTTACGGGAGCTGACACCTCCCTTTGGTGGACGTATCCTTGCCGAGCTACCAGTCAACTGTACGAAAGCTAATCAGTTGCAATCACAGAGGTGGATCAGCCGAGAGCGTTTCTCGTTCGCCTTAGCATAGGGGGTACGCGCGACTTTACACCTCTACCGGACCCGCATGCGAACCGACGTACTGGGGGGGCTGAAGTCCCAAGCGCGGCTCGACGTCTGTCGACTAGGACATATCCCACGCACCACGCGTATACCATTCTAAGAACATTAAAAAAAAAAAAAAACGCACACACACACACACGGAACGACATAAACAAAACAACGCACACAATCCTAGTCCCTTCAGTAGCCATCCCATAACTTTCCGATGCAGAAATCGGATAGGCGACACTCGTGAAACTTAGTATAAAACTGCGTGGATGCAGGGTCTTCCCAGATCGACTAGCAATGCATGAATATGCAAACAGTCGCAATGATGGCGTAATATGTAGTGCGCATAACCAAGTAGTCTCTCGTGCATCCGAGTACCGCTTATGACACTCAAGTGTCAAACTCAAAGTATCGTGAAGGTCAACTCCTTGACGATATTGCACGGCTAAAGAAACATTTGTGCGGCCCACGCGACACATTCGGCATTTAGGCATAGTGTCTCGGTGGGCAGGGCAAATAGGCTCCGCGCGGGGGGTGATCCCTTCCATACAAAGTTTAGGACATGGGATGTCCTGGACAAGGACCTCGAATCCAGGCTCAGGACCAACGTCTGACTAAGAAAGTTTTAAGAAGCATACAACAATAAAAGGAGGGAATTTTATCTTCCTTTCTCAACCTCGACCCCAATTAAACCCGTAAGGGTGGGCTTCTTAGACCACGCGAGATGCCCTAACATATGTATGTACGTACATATGTGTATAGGGGAATAGATATGTCACGATCACATTTCACAATCACAGTGAGACTCTTCTCATCCGTACATATGTATGAGATCGCAGACAATCAAATCCAGAGTCTGAACCACACAACATACTTGCAATCACATCAAGGAATCAAGCAAAAGTCCATGCACTACACGGGGTCAACTCCAACCAATCTCGGCACCATACCTCTTGCTTTAGCCATGCAAGCCCCAACCTTTGTCCAACCTTCCATAATTAAATACTCAGTACCTTTGTTAAATGACCATTCAATAAGAGTCCGGGTGAAAACCTTAACAAAACAATAACAACCATCAGGGCTAAAGCCTTTACGTGGAGTAGTGAGTTTGGGATGGAGTGGAGTCGTAAACCGACGACCTGTTATCAGTGATAACTGAAAATGATCCTTGCTAGATCAAGCTGAATCTAGCGCAAATCTTGAATCAAGCAATCAAGAAGACCTGTAACACAAGACAGACCAATCCCCAGGCTAAATTTGTAAGTCTATGGAGAATAATCTCCATATCACGATCTCACTCCGAATCGTGTTAATTAGCTGAGCATGAACCTACCCCTGAGCAGGTGCCCAAATAAATGTAGACATTGGCAGAATCTTTTCTATACAAAGTGGATCGCCAAAATCACCACCTGTTAAAATATAATCTATCTCCTTTAAACTATGAAAATTTTGGCATCGCTTCCCGTAGAAAAATACCTTCTCAAAATTCATACTAACACGAATATGAAAACTGAAATTATCTCTAACTCTGGAAAGTCAATTTTTGTCTAACTCTCTGAAATTAGCAATAATTTGAGCAGCATTCCCTTTAGAAAATGAGAATTCTCACATTTATACTAAGTCAGATACGAATTCACAAACGAAACTAGAGTTCAGCTAAGACCAAATTAAACTAACTCCTTAGTTTTGTAGAAATTTCGGCTTCACTCCCTTTAGAAAAGTGTTATTCCAAGATTTATAAAAAACTAAGTTGAAAATTTAATAGGACTTTGACTCCTCAAGATCCAATTTCGTTTAACTCCCCGATTTAGCAAAAATTTGAGCAGCACTCTCTTAAGAAAATTAGACTTTCCAGATTTTTACTAAGCCATATATAAAGTTTAGACAAACTTAACTTTGAAAAGTCAAATTTTGGCTAACTCTTTGAATTTACTGAAACTTCGGCAGCTCTTCCCGTAGAGAGAATAACTTACCAATATTTATACAAAGCCGCCAAGTATAAAAAATGATCCCAGAAAATGCGAGAATTAACCTAATTAAAATCAAGTTAGCTAAAAAAATGCAGAAATTAAACTAAATTTTATCGCTCTAGCACATGGCGAGCAAATAAAGCAGCTACTTGTCCAAATTGAAACTCGGACTAAGTAGTAATCTCACTCAGCCATATGCAAGATCAAACCACAAAGAGTAAGTACTATCACCATCCCCAAGTAAAAATCTTCATAGATAGTTAATGAAACTTTCAGATGATTTAAGCCTTATACCCAACTTACATATGACGTAGTGCTAGACCATTCAGCTTAGAAACAATGTCTAGCATGCCTTTAGAATATACACGAACAGATTGCACAACTACTTTTTTGTTCTTTGGGCATATGACTAGACCATTCAGCTTAAAAACAATGTCCAGCCACCCTGAACTGTTTAATAGCCAAAGTTTAATAATTTTCTGATTTTATTTTCAAAAATAAATGAAAATATGGGCAAGGTATTGAACCATTCAGCTTAGAAACAATGCTCAGCTTGCCCAGATTATTTCCAATTGTACTCGGTACTTTCCCTTCTCTTCTTAATGATATGGCTTAACGCTGGACCATTCAACTTAGAAGCAATGTCCAGCTGCCAGTTCTCATGCAAATATAAATAAAGTAATTTTTGTTATACTTAGTTTATATTTATGTGTGTGGTTTTCAGACTAAACCATTCAGCTTAGAAACAATGTTTAGCCTTAGACCATAAATCCTTCCTAAAAAATAAAACAAAAGGCTGAACCTTTCAGCTTAGAAACAATGTTCCGCCTATCCTCAAACCATGTAAAGCATGAAGTTGGATTCTTCAGTCCAACTTCAGTCAGAAACCTCAAAAGAAACAGACAGACCAAGCCATTCACTTAGAAACAATGCGTGGTCCAAGACATCAGTCAGGCAAACCCTCGAAAATAAACACAGCAACCAGGTCATTCAACTTAGCAACAATACATGGTCCTTCAGAAGATATTCAAATAAACAGAACCTTGGGTCAGTCAACTTAGAAACAATGTCCAGTCCTTGGTTGACCCAGTCAGACGCATGCAAACTGTCTTCCTCCCACCTTCCCCCAGTTCATCCCTTAGTCTGCTTTCAGTCAAAATAAAGAAAAAACTTACGCTTTTCACATGTATTCCTTTCATTCAGTCTGATTAGACCCTGAAAAGTAAGCAAAGTCATAGGTGAATACATGCATACATCAGTCAAACTAAGAGGAAATAGTCCAACAGGGGTATAGTGAGGTCATACAGATAGACGAAAATATACATGTTGGTTCCCTGCCTCCAAAACTCCTCTTGAGTTTCGGAAGAGCTCCCGCAATCGGTGGGCAGATTCCCGACAGAGTCTTGTTGCGGTCCTACGAGTTGCAATCCCGCCTGCCGCCTTCCTCTCAGATCATGACTAGACTTAGAGTAAGAGGGGCAGAATAAGGGGTTTCAGACTCTCAAGATACAGGAGGGGGACAGACTCAACTCGGAGGAGAGGGTCTTGATACCTTCGATCGCCTGAGGGCCCCGCAATGATGGTCAAGGATACAACAATAACTCGGTCAAACGAAAGTCAAACTGTTGATTGCTGATTCCCAGACGACTCCTCAAACTGCAGCAAGACACCCCTTCGATCAACTCATGATCTCGGCTCCTCCACAACCTTGCAACCTCGCGGCTCACATCCTACTATTCAGCCCAGTAGGATTGACAACTCTCCAGTTAGTAGTCAGGCTTGCGCCCTACTGGCCTGTTTGCTGCTTCAACCTTCAAAGTAAGCAGCGCGTTGGTAATAGGTAAATCTCCAACTTTGTCATCTATCCCTCTCCCCAAAACACAGACCGCGAGTCAAACTCAGTTTCTTCCTCTTGCTATAGCAACCCAGCATCGTGGCTTGACTAGCCCTGCAGTGCGCAACATGCACGTAGATACTGCTTATGCGGTCCTCTCCAAGACTGATAAGGACCCTACCCACAGCTGACTTACGGTGCTCTGATCAGGAAGATGGGCTAAGCATTGGTCGATAAGCGAGGACGCAGTCTTGCGGCTCGCCCGCTGCTTACTTCCTTTGGTGGGGTGAGCAGCCCTCTCTGTCACCAGGCGGGTCCTTAGTCCAACGACAAGCCTCATGCTACATCGGCTGGTGGGATGCACAGCACACCGGCCGACAAGTAAACTCCCAGTTTCAGCAGCTTGCCTCACATCTACAGTAGTTACAACGACAACCCACCAGCCAAGAGGTAAGTTTGCAAGCTCATAGTCTGCCCGTAACTGCTTCGCTCTATAGTGTGCCAGCCAAAGTGGTGAGCCCTTGGTCTTGCTG